GGGGGGGGGAAGTGAAAGTCAGTGTCGGTACTGAATGTGTTCGCCAAAACAGTCCTGCAGAGTGTGAAGACTGATCTGCCTTGAAAACTCAGCTGCGACCCAGCTGGGGGGGGTGGGCGGGGGGAGTCTGCTTCCTCACCCCCATACCAGCCCCCCCCCGGGGCAGAAGGCAGCACTCACACCAGGTTAATCGCTCACCTACAAGCACAGAGCTGGTACCCGTCATTCTGATTAGAGCCCAGGAGTCCTGCACCTATAGAGCGTGTAAAAGGAACTGTACGTCACGCCCACACAGACCAGTAGCCACCAGACCCAGAGAAGAGGTGGACCTCAAGCTCAGGGAGCACGTCCAGTCCTACAGCCTGCCCAAATATGGAGTGGCATCAGTAAGAATTTCGGAAGTCTGCGAAATAGGGAAAGTGGCACTTGCTATGTGTTGCCCTGCAAAGCAAAAGCCTGTTTAACACCAAAGTATCATCTGCAGACCACAGCAAAAGGCACAAGCAAGACTGGGTACGGATACGAGTCTGTTTGCCCAGCGGCCGCTGTGTCCCAGCGGGCCTGCGTCTCTCACACCTTCGACCTGTTTGCAGGCCCATTACACAACTCAGATTAGCGCGCCAGCCCTCCCACTCAGGCATGCAGTTGCAGCTGCTGCAGCCCCCTTGCAGGCAGGGCAGGGCCTGGCCGTCCACATTACAGCATCATGCAAGGCAGCCTGCAGAGCAGCAACATCTTATTGGGGGAGGGGTAAACCATCACCAAGTATGATTAAAGGTCATTGGCCTAAATCGCACGCTCCACGCCCCGGTCAAGTCTGCATTACTGTCCAGCAGGGTGCCACTGAAAGCTAAATCAGTAGTGATCTGGACACCCCCAGATACTGTACCCCCAAGTACACGGCTTCTTTTAAACAATATGACGGCTCCAGCGAGAACCTGTTGTGTATCTGACACGTAAATGGCGTGTCGCGGCGCTCGATGCTATTGTTGTGGCACAGCTGTCGATTTCCGTTACCTTTAACCTTACAGTCATCTTCAAGTAAAAAGCTCAGACATTGATTTTACCACCCCGCGGTCCTTTCAGGAATGTGCAGTAGGAGAAAACAATTTACACCTGTGGGGTTACAGGACTTCACAGGCGCCAAGACTCAATAGGCAGTGCAACCCATTCCCAACCGAGCTATTTAGGTCAGACAGGTATTAGACAAGACAGAAAGAAAATGTCAAACTGAAACTTACTGCAAAAACATCCATGAACAAGGTTCGTATCTCTCATGCATCTGGCCTGACATTCACGCTTTCAGACTATCACCCTCATGCAAGAAATCTTACGGGAATTTTATATTATTCCGTTATAAACCTAAGATTAGTTACATCAAAAGCGTTGGGGTACAGACTATTTACAAGGTAATAAAACTGGTACATACACAGAAATGAGTGTGCAGACATTTCTGGAATTGAAACTCTCACTCCAGGCAGCTGACAAAAGTTGACAACCCTGCATTATAAAAAGACACGTCCAGTCTCGATACTCACCCATCCTTCGAAAGTGTCCTCCATGTTCGAAGTTTTGATCAAGTCTTCGAACTGGATGGTGCAGTTGGCCACGAAGTCGTCGTAGCCGATCGGCGCGTCGTGGAAGACGGCCAGCTCTAGCTTCCTGCCGTCGCTCACATTCAGGCTGAACTCCTCGTTGTATGTCGGCGTGTTGGTCTTCTGCTTAGTGTGCGTCTGCCCGATTTTATACTCGTCCACCTTGACAACGATATAGGGGTCCAGAGAGGGTGACGTCTTGTTGAATATAACAGAATGGCGTAGAGAAAAGGTGGTCGGCTTCAGGTCCACCGCCTCCCCGATCCTCAACTTCAGGTACCCGTTGAACTTCATCTTGGTTTCCCAATCAACTCAAGTTGACACGGTGTAATCTAAAACACTGTTAACGTGTGCGACTGTGCATAACGACAAACGACAGTCCCGGTATTACGAACAAACAAGCAAAAAATAAATAAACACGACTCTCATATCGTCGTTTATTGATTGTAATGCATCCGCAGCGCTGCCGCATGCCCCGCACACCGATCGAGCCAAGACCAAGTCCTCACCGAGAACCTCTGTGACTGCTGGGGGAGATGAACTTCGACGAAGGAATGGCCGCAAAGGGGAAGTAAATCTGCATGAGTTCAGCGTAGACAGAGTGGTCTTCACACCCCTGCAACTTCGCTTTGACACGTCCGTCGGCGCATTAACCTCGAAAATGCTGCTCCGCTTCCCCAAACACCAGCCTTCTTCGCTTTCTGCTTGTTCTAATGGTGCAAAAATGATCTGAAGGCGGGCTCGGAAACTGTAGTTCCCCCAGCCCTACCTGCGCCGCGCGGACATCGCGCGTGAAGGTGTTCGGGGACTGCAGGTACCAGGATGCACCTCGGCGCGCAGGTTTGACAGGTTCGCTGCAGGTGCCATCGAACAGGTTTTTCACCCTAACTCGTATCGCTTTTATCTGCTAAGGAATTTCTACAGATATAGTAATAGTGATACGATTGAAGTGCTCACAATGTCTGAAATAAAACATATGTACGACGCTAAACAAGATACTACTCTCATCGTATTGAAATGTCTTGCCTTGTCCTTGATTGGCCTTTAAAACATATTTTATAGTATTATACACTAAATTCTGCTTTAGATATGTACTTGAAGCTAAGGAAAGTTCCTGCACGTGCATTTGGAGATTTAAATAACGAATATGAAATATTGTCACAATGCTCTACATTTAAAAACTTAATCAAAATTAATTCGTGTTACAAGGTGATATTTGCTATATTTGACTTTTCTTTCATACCTGTATACATTTACCTCACCTGTGTGTCAGCTACACCAGAAAAGCGATAAAAGGCGCCATCTGGTGTTGAGAATTCACGACGGCGTGGCCATTTAAGTTCACATCTGTGTCATATGGAGACAGGTTCCCGTATTTACATTCATACTATGCATGTGCGACTGCAAAAAAAGCTCTGTATCTCCGACCGCAATGCGATTTTCAGCTCTGGACTTTACCTGCACTTACTGTGGTCGGGGCTGAAATCGTGTGGCCCCCTTCCGTCAGCTTCTGTCACCCTAGCTGGTTTAACTTGGGTAAAAATGAAACTGTGGCTGGCTTTGGGGGCAGGTCGTTGTGGCACAACTCTGTCACCAGTTACAGGTCCCTCCAGACTGGGCTGAGGCTGCCTGTGTGTTCAAGGACAGTAAAGACACAGATGGCTGCAAAGGCTGCTGTCACCTATGGGCGGGGGGCCGGTGATTCAGGTAGAGCTTCTACCCAAATGCCATAAGACTGTCTAACACACACTAATGTGCAGTATTAATACTGAGCTGTGACCTGCTGTTAGCTCCCTGATTTTTGTCCTGATCTGTTCCATGTTTATCACTTGGCTCCGTTGCTTGCTTTTTATTATTATTTATTGTTAATTCTGTAATCCTGCTGTAACATCTCTGCATTCTGCCCCCTGCACCTCTTCATATTGCTTCATATTGCCCTCGCAAACGTTTTGCCCAGGGGTCCACACAACCCATAATCCGTCCCTGGTCATGACATATATGTTGTAAGACGTTTTATGTTGTTTGATATCTTGTAGTAGTGAGTGTTATGCACTTAGTTTTTTTTATTGTATTTCAACATCACACTGCTTTGTCTGTGGAGAAGGTATTCAAGCAAGAATTTCAATGTACATGCACTATATGGATAAAAGTATTGGGACACTTGGCTATTATGCCTACACGAACTTTTATGACATCCCATTCTAAATCCATAGACATTGACATGGAGTTGGTCCCCCCTTTGCAGCTATAACAGCTGCCACTCTTCTGGGAGGGCTTCCCACAAGACCAGTTCCATATAGTGCCTATGGATTTAGAATGGGACTTCGTAAAAGTTCCTGTGGGTGTAATGGCCAAGTGTCCCAAAACTTTTCTCCATATGGTACATGACAATGGAACTTTGAATTCAGAATCTTTTTACAGGAGGAGGGGCTGACTGCAGTTACATTTCTGGTTGGAATTGTCCTCCGCTCCTTATTTAAATCAGCCCCTCAGATGGGGCCATCTTGATGTTGACCTCATTCAACCTTCAAATTTGTTTCAAATGTGCCCTTCTGCATTAAACCTGAACATTTGGTGAATACTGTAATGTCCTGTTATTTTCAGCATCAGTGCCAGTCAAACCCATTAGGTCAGTGTTGGGCTACGCGTTTCCTCCTGGTTTCCTGACAGACAGGCTACATATTTGCTCCCTCTCATGTAGGGAGCTGGGAAGGAGCAAAAACATGGACCATCTGGGGTTTCCTGAGGGCTGGGTTCAGAAACACTGCATTAGGTAACAAGGGGACACATAGGGCACCAACTTGGCACCATGTGTGGTCTGGTGGTGGGGCTCGCCTTGGTCTTCACATGGGCATTGAGCAACACATTCAGATCACAGTACTGGTGCATGTCAGATCTGGTGGGTAGTGTGGTTGATGGCTTTGTGTGTACCCAGCCCTGATTTCACCGACGCAAAACCCTCCTTGAAAGCATTTCATACAAACTGATCATTATGATGACTGTGGATCATGTCTAGGTAGACTTCACACACGATCACAGAGACCTTGATTCTTTTCCACTGCTGAACCTCGAGGATCTGCAACAACCTAGGAGACTGGGGGTGGGGGTGGTATCCAAAACACACATGGTGCTGAAGTTGTGGACATGATTTATACTAAGTGCCTCCATCGCCTTTGAAAGGGAGCCTGGACTGGAGTGTTCTCAGGACACAGGTCTCAGGGGGCTTGTAAACTCAGTGGAGCCTAATAGAGGCCCAGAAGCCCCTCCCTCTCTCCCCGCAACACCCAGACGCCAGCCCTGGCAGAGCAGTCAATCTCCACCACGCCAGGATCAAAGAGTCACCGTGATGGGTGTAAGCTCTGACCTCTAACACCCCCTAGAGCTCAGCATTAAGCTCTGGCATTGCAGCTGCTTCTGATAAAGAGATCTGATCTTGAGAGGAGAGTCTGCTCCAGGTCCACAGACTGAGGTCTCTGGTCTGTACTGAACTCCAGGCTTAACCTCTATCTAGACAAATGTTTTGTGATTCCAGTAGCAGTGATTAATAATCAAAATGTACTGTACTGTGTGTAAAGTCCGTGTGACCCGATACAGGATTAGCGGCTCGAACATGGAGGTGGATGGACGTGTGGTTCTACGGGTGCAGTTCACAACTCGGCCAATAGAGGGCAGAAAAATACCGCATCTATTTATCCTGCTGCTGGATTTAACAAATGGCCGAAACGAGTAGCATTACAGGGAAGTTACTCTCAGGTAATTTGCTCACCTGCTGTCAGTCTGACACTCTCTCTCATCTTCAGTTTAGCTAAAAGCCTTTCCATTCATTCCTAGCTCAATTTAAAACGGTGCACAAACAAAAAATTAAGCCAAAGGCTGCTCACCCGTATCTGTCTAATGCACACAGTTGATGTGCTGGTGGAACTGGGGCTGAAACCAAAACTGGTTGCAACCCCAGGACAGGAAATGCTGCTGCACCTATACTCTTGACCTAACAGCTGCAGTCGAATGATCCAGTGAAGCTGAAAACTGTAAACTGCTCAGCAAAGACACACAGGACAGTAACATGAATGAGCCTCTGTGTTTGGCACATGCCTGTAATACACCCCTCCTTGCAGTCCCTGCAGATGTCAAGCTGGGGTTAGGGACTGCAGAGGCCCCCTGCCAATCGTGCACCCCATTTGCCTCCCCCACCCTGCCCTTCCTCAATTTTGGTGGGATTGTTTTCTTTGGGATCACAGACACTGTTTAGCAGAGCCCGTAGCTGGTATTTTATGATGGTTTTTGGGTTCCTTGTTCTCACCCAGCCTTTACTCTCGTTACCCAGCACTACTGCTGCTTTTACCATTCTGAGGAATTTCTACACATTCTACACCCTTTCACACACTCACACACAGTCGGGGGGAGGGGGGTATTGCAGTGAAGCTGAGGTGGAGATAGAGATCTAGGAGGGGAAAACAAAAAATATGATCAGCTCTCATGCTGTGTCTGTGTACGTGTGTGTGTGTGTGTGTGTGTGTGGGGAGGGGGGAGGGGTTGTAGTGATCTTGTTATGGTTATTTGGTATAGTAGGGACTGGGGGGGGTCGGGTTGCAAGGGCTGGGGATTGAGGGCTACGCAACGACCACTGAAGAACAAAAGAACGTAGACCTTTTAGACGGAAGTGACAGAGATATGCAAAGACGCTCCAGAAGCAGGGACAAGGAGCACTGCTGTAAAGGTACCTTTGGGTTCAGGAGGAGACTCACTGGGTGAGGATTCAAGCAGGAGTTTTCTTCATACCCACCCTGCAAAGTCGCCCTTCAAAGCTGCACCCTGGGCGTCCGGGAATCATCGCCATCTGCAGTCTCTCAGGTCCTGCTTCCTACTGCGGCCAGATCGGGCAGCTGCATCCTGGCCCAAACCTCTCTTCTGGAACTTGTCCAGGTTCCGCAGCTCGTGAACCTCCATCGTGGGCCCAGACTCTGTAAGGGGGGGCAGCTGGTTGTAGGAACCGGCGGTTTCAGCGAGCCGTCGCACCCCGTGAACCTTCTGCCGCACGCTGGGCGAGAAATGCGGTGGAAATGGGCAGGAAAGACGTGCCACCGTGAGCCGTGGTGAACGTGGAAACCGAGTGAATCTGCAACTTATTCCTGAGCTGCCGTAGGCTTGTGTCCATCATGTCTGCTTCTTTGAAAGGACACATGTGAGGAGTCTCCTGCAGACAGGGATATGCAGACATACATCTCCTCTTTTCTCCTGCAGACACACATCTCCTCTTTTCTCCTGCAGACACACATCTCCTCTTTTCTCCTGCAGACAGGGATATGCAGACACACATCTCCTCTTTTCTCCTGCAGACAGGGATATGCAGACACACATCTCCTCTTTTCTCCTGCAGACAGGGATATGCAGACACACATCTCCTCTTTCACGTCGTGCCTCCAGGTTATTCCCACCTCTGGCCTTGCAGGCTTTTTTTCTTTTTTTTTTTAGACCAATGTGAGGAAAAAAAGCAAAAAAAAAAAGCACGGTATATAATTTACCGTCATAAAAGTTGATTTGGTGCGAAGTATCCCGTTTCACAAGACTACATGTCACACCGGCACTTTGACACAGTGGAAATACGATGCCTTAATTGATGTGGGGGTGGGGGGGGTGGGGGTTGGGGTGGAGGGAGGGGGGGCAGTGAGAGAGCCCTCTTTGTGTGGGTCAACCTCTCTCAGACCACATTAAAAACACCCCCCATACATAACAAGAGTTTAATGAAGTGGGTAGGGGAGAGTGCTCTAACATAACAGCACTTGAAGGGGG